TGACTGAAATTATTAACCAGGTAGTGAACATTGTACCCATAGGTAGTTTTTCAGCCCCTGCCCTTTCTCCCATTATGTTCCCTCTAGTAGTCCCCTATGTCTATTGTGCCCACCAACCGTGGATTCGATAAAGAAACTGTGGTATATATGCACCATGGAATACTATGCAACCCTAAGTAAGAACAAAATTATGCTCTTGCAGAAACTTGGATGCAGCTGGAGGCCATTTTCCTAAGTGAGCAGATGCAGAAACAAAAGCACAAAACCATAAGTTCTCATTTATAAGTGGGAGCTTAACATGGGGTACTCATGGGCATAAAGATGGGAACACATGTTTAGCCTCTTTCTATCTTCTCCTTTGTGATTCCTAATACAAATTTGTTAGTATTGTACACATGGACCTATAATGTCTGAGGTTTTATTCATTCTTCTTTATAATTTTTTCCTTCTTTATATGAGATCTTTTCTATTGACTAGTGTTTCAGTTCACTGATTCTCATGTCATGTTAAATTGCTGTTGAGTCTATCTAATACATTTTTCAATTGAGTTGTTGTACTTTTCATTTCTAAATTTCCCAGTAAGTCTGTTTTCATAGTTTTGTCTCTGAGAGCCTCTATTTGTTGAATCATTGTCTTTACAAATTCCTTTTTAAGTCTTTTATTATAGGTTAAAATAATTCTTTGAACATATATTTGGTAAGGATGGAGCACATAGACACCATGGAAATGGAACATAAAGCAGGGAGCTCAGAATTAGATTTGGCGAATTTGGAGTCTCTGATTATGATGCTTTTGTGTGTTTTAATTATTTCCCATGTTTTATGTTTCTCATATTAAAAATAGCATTTATTTTTAAGATAGTAACTATTATAGAAATTCAGCTTATCAATTCCTGTAAATTTCTAACAGAAAACTGATGAAAAGATGGGTTTTTTTTTTGGCCCCCACAGCAGCCTCTGCCTGGGACCTGACTTTGTCTCTGAGTCAGTGGAAGCTGTGATGAGGTTTTGAGTTGGGCAGTGAAATCATAGCAGTGCAGGCTGTGCTCTGGGTGCTGTGGAGGACAGGGGGACACTCCTTCAGGGTCAGTGATGCTAAGAGTTCGAGGGGAGACTCAGTGTGAAGCTGCCTGTGAGTTGCCCCAGCAATCCTGTTTGGACAGTGATCATCTCACAAGTGTACTCAGATGCCAGTGGATGGCCCAAACGTGGGCTCAGGTTGGAGAAGGACAAAGTTACAGGGATGAATATATAAGGTTCATTTGATATTCTGAAATATCTGTACAACATAATGAATTATATGGGAAGAGAAAGGAGTCACAAGGTTGTGATTTTTTTTTATTTGATATTAAAATATATCCCCTCTACTCATTTTTTCATCCACGATGTACCTACTGATATACACGTAACCAAAGTCACTGTTTTTAATTTTCGTTTTAGTAACTGACAGCCTGTGTGCATAGTTCCTATATAACTCTGAAGCCAGACTATCATTCCTATGGGTGAAGCAGGAAGTGACTGTGGATGTTAACAAATGTGAGTTTCAAGTACACATCTCCAAAGCCACAAGGCACTGATCTGGGGGGAACCTGCAGTCATTTCACTTTCCTATGCCCAGATGAGAGGACACCCTGATCTGTGTTCATCTGATGAAGTCTAAAATCTGGAACATATTCTGAAGGTGTAGTTCACACTTCTTTTCTGTGCTAGAGGGACTCTCTTACTGACACGTATTGTGTCCTCTACATAGGACAGTCTGTGATACATACAACTTGTTTTCTGCTAAATAGCCATCGGTCATGTCATTTATGAGTCTTCCATAGGTGTTACCTGGCCTATCACTATGGGGTGTTCCAAAGAATGGGCCAGAGGTACAGCTGTCAAACTATAGCTGGATAAAAAGTGTAAATGTCAAGAAAGGGTAATGAAGTGGTGATAATAATAGTAATATTCCAAATTAGTCTGGGCTCTTGGTTGTGATTACTACTAAGTGTGAAAGAGTCTAGGTTTTTTTTATTAGTTTTATTTCAATTGATAAAGTAGCCAGAGTAAAGTGTGCAAATCTTGAATATGCAACTGAATAAAGTTTATGTGTAATTCATTGTCCAGGTGGAATGATAGAGTATTTCACATTCCCTTGTGCTTCCCTCATGGACAATCTTTGTCTGTTGTCACCCCTCCCACCCAGCAAAAGTAACTGTCTTTCTGACATCTACACAATCATTTAGGTTTTCCTGTCTTGAACTTTATATAAATGGCATTAAGTGTATTTTTATCTTTTTAGACTTGTTATTGTTCCTTACAACTCCGAGGTCGTCATTTCTTCCAGAGGAGTCAAGATCCCATCTCATGTCATTTGCTGTGATTCTGAAGGATTTTCTCTCAAATGTCTTATAAGACATAGCTGCTATGAATGAATGTATTTTGTTTATCAAACAATATATATTTTTTTACTTTTTCTTTAGATTTGAAGGGTGTTTTCACTGGATATGGATTTCCTGGTTGCCTTCTTTTTTTTTTTCCCCCTTTCAGCATTTTAATATGACATTTCCCTCCTTCTACCCTCTATTGGTCCTGATGAAAACTCGGCCAATGGCTATGTTGTTGTTTCTCTGTATAAAGTGTCTGCTTTCATTCTTGATGCAATGAAGATTTTTCTCTTTGTCTTTCAACATTTTAATATAATGTGTTCAGTTATTAATTTCTACTGATTATCTAAAAGGTTTTTAATGAATTTTTCATTTAAGATTATTTTTTATTACTTTTGAAATTTTTTGTCATTATTTCTCCAAATATTTTTTCTGCCACTTTCTCTTTCCTCCTTTGTGACTCTCATTATAGATTTGTTGATATCCTTCACTCTGAGCTATAAATCTCTGAAGTCTTTTCTTTTTTCTAAACATTTTCTTTAGACCCAATAATGTCTATTATTCCACTTTCACGTTAACTGATTGTTCTTCCATTTCAAATAGCTATTAGACCTAGCTAATAAATATTTAAAATGAGTTACTGTATTTTTCATTTCTAGAGTTCTCATTTGGTCATTTTTTATATTTTCCATGCCTTTCTTGAGGCCTTACTTGCTGAATCTTCTTTTAAAAATATTGTCTTTTTTATATCAATGATCATAGTTTTAAAAATAATTATTTGAACACCTGCATATTAACTACTTTGTAGTCTTTGCTAAATCCAATAATTAGGGCAAGTTAGAATTAGTTTTCATTGACTATTTTCTGTTCTTATTATTTTAGCTGCTTTATTTTTGTTCCTTTAATATTGTTCATACTTCTCTGTTTTTTTTTTTTTTTTCAGGAGTTGTTAAACTGAAAATTGTACAATTCCGATAGCATATTATAGTATCTCTCTTTAGATTATGAGCTTTCTTATTTTAACTTTTAATTTTTTTGGAAATAGGGTCTTACTCTTTCAGCCAGGTTGGAGTGTGGTGGTGTGATCATAGCTTGCTGCAGCCTCAACCTCTTCAGGGCCAGCAGTTCTCCAGCTTCATTCTTCTGAGTAGCTGGGACTATAGGGCATGCCACCACTCACTGCTATTTTTTTTAAATTGTAAGCTAAGGGTGTCACTATTTTGCACACTCAGCCTGGTGTCATACTCCTGGCATGAAGTGATCCTCCCAAACTACTGGGATTACAGGCTTGAGCCACCAGGCCAGGCCTGGAATTTGTTTGTTTTTTTCTGATCATTTTTAAATTTTCTTCTTAGTTACTTGTCTGAACTTACTGATAGTGCCTGACTTATGATAGTTTGAGTTATAATTTTTTGACTTTCAGATGGTGTGAATGTGATATGCATTCAAGTAGAAATAGAACTTCTAGTATTCATACAACTATTGTATTTTATCTTTCAGTACAGTATTCAATAAATTACATGAGGTATTCAACACTTTATTGTAAGATAAGCTTTGTGTAGGATAATGTTGACCAACAGTAAGCTAATGTAAGTGTTCTGTGTACATTTAGGATGGGATAGGCTGAGCTATAATGTTCAGTGGATTAGATGTGTTAAATGTATTTTCATGCATGATATTGAAAAATCTGTATCTCCCATGGTGTTTGACCACAGATATCTCTGCTTCCTTTTATTCTTAATATTAACATTTAGTTCAAATTTATAGGAACTGTACATGTGTCTACACAGCGAAGTGGTCACCAATGATTTGAGAAGTTTTGCTCAAATATCTGGAGGTTATAAATCTGTCTTCTGTCAACCCATGTGTGTGTGGTTTAAAAAGCAAACTCCATATAAATTGCAGCTAGTTCCTACCTCCCTCTGGTTTTACTTTGCATGGGAAACTCCTGGTTCTCATCACTCATATCTAGCTTCTAGCTTCTAGGTCATTAGGAATGTGTGCAGAGATTGTTTCAGTAATATGGGTCTAACTTATCCAGGAATCTCCTATTTACTATCAGCAGATGGACTACTTGCCCCAAACAGGGCATCATCTTGTACTAGTAAAGCTGTGGGCTTTTTCTTTTCATTTCCTATGGAGTTCTCCATGTTTAATTGAAAATACTGAAGAATTTTTTTTCCACTCCTTGGCTTTACTCAAGTCCACTCCCTTTGGCAGCAAGCTGCCAGTTTCATTTGCTATCCTCACATTGGTAAACTCTAGTTTTGTGATTCATGCCGACTGAACTGGGAATAGAAGGGTGCTGTCACAGGCGAAAGGCTACAGACTTTTTCTGTCCTTATTCAAAGCACTAGTACTTTTTTTTCTATAAAGAATACACATCCTAAATTACTTTATGGTTCACCAGTTTTCAGAGTGCTGAAAGAGTTTTGATATTTCAGCTTTAAGAGTGTGTTTGTTGTTTATTTTTGCACAGAAGATTTATTAAACTCTTTGTGATGCCATAAACAGAGATACCTTCTAAAATGTGTTTAATAGCCATGCTGAAATGGAATGAAGTAATGGACTAATATAATTCATTTTGGACTTTAGAACGTGAACTCCAAAAGAGCCAAATAGAGCAGAGATGCTAAAACCTCACTAGCTGTCTGTCAAGGAAGCAGATGGTATAATCAGTAAACACTGAGGGTCTTGTTGAGGTTTTTGTTTCATGTTGAATCACTGTGGGAGGCAAGTCATTATACTGCTGACAGTAATAAACTCCAACATCTTCAGGCTCCAGGCTGCTGATGGTGAGAGTGAACACTGTCCTAGACCCGCTGCCACTGAACCTGTCTGGGATGCCAGTGGCCCTGCTGGATGCACCATAGATGAGGAGCTTGGATGCCTGCCCAGGTTTCTGCTGGTACCAGGCTAAGTAGCTGCCAACACTCTGACTGGCACTGCAGGAGAGGGTGGCAGTTTCCCCTGGAGACAAAGACAGGGTGGCTGGAGACTGCGTCATCACAATTTCTCCGGTAGTATCTGAGATTGGAAAGAAAACAGAAATGCACTCATGTAATCTAGATCAAACCCACTGTCTTTGAGTAGAGCCAAAATTGTTGATCTATATTGAATTTTAATTATATTTCTTGCTGAGCAGAGGTGTCAGGAGTTTTCAGTGATGTGCAAAATCACCTCATGTTCCCCTCACCTGGGAGCCAGAGTAGCAGGAGGAAGAGAAGCTGTGCTGGGGCTTCCATGGTTCCCTCTGGGTCCTAACTGAGCAGTTCCTCCCCAGAGCTCTGACCCAGGCATTGATATGGGCTCTGGAAGGTAGGGCAGCTGGGAGGGACATGCAAAGCAGCAGGGGTGGGAGCTGGGCTTCCAGCTGCAGGGACCACCTGCTTCTTCCCCTCTGCACTGAGCATCCTGTGCCGCCCTGGTTGTCAGAGATCAGAAAAGTCTGTTGGCTCAGTCTGAGTGTAGAACTTCCCCCTGGTGATCACAGAATTTCACTCCTGTGTCTTTCTTCTCCTCAGTCACCTAAGTCCACCCAGATGACATTTGACACAAGGCTGTTAAGAACAATATAAAAGGCTGTGTTTTCATTTCTCTCTTCCTGTCCTCAATATGCCCCGTCATCTCCGTAAGTGCATTATTGGATTGATGGAAATGAAGAGTCTGTTAGAACATAATCTTCCAGATACACCTTTCATTTGCTTGTTAGTAATGTTTTGTGAGGGTCTTGAAGCTTTCCATTAACCCAGACACCATCCTCTTTGAGTTAAAAAGTTAAAAAAGTTAAAAACTTCTGTTTACAGTCCCGTGTCCTGGCAGGCCCTGACACAGATGCTCCATGGCTTGCCGATTGCTTGAAATTGATCAAGTAACTTCACTTCCCTGTGTCTCAGTTTCCATGTCTGTGTAATTGTGACAATAGTGGTACCTGCCTTACAGTACTGTAGACAGTTTAAATAAAATAAGATAAAACATTTACAATAGTATTCATTACATTAGGTATGTGGGAATTAATTTTGCTTTTATTAATTTTTTATTGATTGAATATTAAGCACTACATAGTCATCATCATTATCATAAATAAACTTAGTATGGAAAATAGTCTTAAATCTAATCCAAGAATGTTTTATCCACAGTCAAATTAAATTTTAAGGCTTTTTCTTCAGTACCTGTACACAACTCTAAAAATCCTAATGATTTGGTCTTAATCTGTGCTAAAGAACTTAGACCTTCAATCATTCCCATCCATCCCTGTTTAACGTATTACTTCTCATCATCCATTATCAAAATGCTACATTGTAAAAGGTTACCATGTCCTGTTGCTGTCCTTCTTTCTTATATAATCTTTATTCTACCTTGTTATCTTTTGTCTAATTCTTGCTGCAGGACAATAAGGATAAGCTACCATCATTAGTTGTGGACTTGCTCCAGTATAATTTTGTCAGTCTTGTTATCTGGGATATGAAGACTATGTCTTGCAAAGAAACAATGTGTTATCAAATATCAAATGGGTCAATGTGTTATCAAATAAAAGATTTTATCTACTTATGATCCAATAATTAATTTAGACTGACTTTAACTTTTTTTTAATGACAAAGAAGAGAAGACGATATAAGAGGAAAATAAAATACAATAGAAAATACAAGCTATTGTAACTCTTGCTTCATGGATTTTTACATCTATTTTAGACATGTGCTCAGTATATGTGTACAATGGTGATCCAGAAACAGAATGCTAACTGGCTTAAGGAATGCCTGTGTTACATTGGGTCTTGCCTGCTTTTCCAATTATGAACAAAAAGCTACAATACTATTTGTATGAGTATCAAACTTTCTAGCTGCCTGAGACAGAGGTAGAGAAGATTTACTGAGATAAAAGCCTTGGAAGTAGTAGAGGCTTGTCCTATGATGTTACAGGTATTGCTGTGGTTGTTGTTAGGAAATACAGTGGGAGTGAAGGCGGGTAGGTTTATAGTGGGAGTGAAGGTGGGTAGATTTACAAGCTCTGCTCTTCCTCACACTCACAACCCCCTCTAGAGATCATCAGATGGTGGTACAGGAATCTCTGACACCTCTAAGGAAGTCTTTCTTGCTCTTTCCAGAATGTTTCCTGACAAGTATTGTTTTGAGTCACGGACTAGGTGGAAGTGGGTGTAGAAGAAATGACGAGAGAAAGGGAAGAAGTTTTCAATCCCAGGTAGTTGTTGTAGGCACAGGGAATTGGAATTTTTCGTAGATTTATGCCACACTTCTGTCATGTTGGGTAGAGAGGCATCACACCAGGCTCATTCTTAAAAGAAACATTGCATTATTTTAAAGAGAAGGAACTATGAATTTCTTGTCAAATAGATGTTTAAAACTCAAAGATACTTTTTTTTTTTTTTTTTTTTTTTTTTTTTTTTTTTGAGACAGAATCTCACTCTGTCACCCAGGCTGTAGTGCAGTGGTGCGAACTTGGGTCACTGTAACCTCCACCTCCCTGGTTCAAGCGATTCTCCTGCCTCAGCCTCCCAATGTGCTAGGATTACCGGCATGTGCCACCACTACCAGATAATAATAGGGGGGAGTAGAGGGCCACAAAAGCATGTACACAAGAGACAACTTTTCTTTTTTTTACAGAATAAGTCTAATTGTAAAATAGTATTATAATGTATGGAACCATGTTTAAGACAAGTCTCCTGGTGTTCGAATTTATGTTGAACCTAAGCAGCGTTGTGATACAAAATGAGTTTCTTTTTCTTTAAGCTGAATTTGAATTTGCTCCAATAACCTAATAGGAACCCTAGTGACGAGTCCTCTCTGATGATTGCCATTGTCCCCATTTCTAACAAGCATTTCTACTGGACACAAAAGTTTTTCTAAGTCTAACAAGAGGGAGGGTGACTGGGCCATCATTGTCCTCTTCTCAGATTTCCACTTCCTGCATAGAAGGTAGAGGAAGGAAGACATTATGAAAGTGGATTACAAGCATTTGTTAGTGAACAAAATATGACTAAAGCAGTATTTTTATTTTTTATTTTTAAATTTTTATTTATTATTATTATTATTTGAGGCAGACTGTCACTCTGTCACTCAGGCTGGAGTGCCATGGTGCAATCTCGGCTTAGTGCGACCTTCGCCTCCTGGATTCAAGTGAATCTCATGCCTCAGACACCCAAGTAGCTGGAATTACAGGCGTGTGCCACTAAGTTCAACTCGTTTTTTGTTTTTTTTAATAGAATGAAGGTTTCACCATATTGTCCAGGCTGGTCTTCCTGTCCTCAACTGATCCGTCTATCTTGGCCGCCAAAGTGCTGGGATTATAGGCATGAGGCACTCCACCGGGATTTAAGCAATATTTTTATTAAGTAAAGTGTAGAAGAAAAAGTGACAATAAGAAAACAAAATGGCATTATGGAAAATGATACCTTTAGGGCAGAAAACAAGAGAAGGCAAACCAAGATTCCTGTAGGATGAGCCTCCAATGCACAATCCAAGGAGGAATGTCAAGGCTGAAAACTCTGGAGCATCCAGGTAGTGACCAAAAGTACCAAATTCTGAGAACACAGAGTACCCGAGTATCAGCCTGTGAGTGTTCCCACACCAAATGCCAGGAAATTCTGGAATATCCAGGGACTGAACAATGCAGAAAATCCTGGAGCCTCAGTGGTGTGGCCAACAGTGAGCCCCAAAGGCCTGGTTGGGACCATAAAACAATGTGACTCTGGATTCTTAGAGTCAACAGAACAGGAGAATTCTTACAACCAAGTGTGCTGCTTTAAACAATTGCACAAACCTAATTAGCAGGGAACCAAAAACAAAAGTAAAAACCAAACGTATATATCAGGACAGAAAATAAGATTAAATGGCTGATGGATAAATAAAATGGTATTAGAGGAGATATGACTAAGAGAAGGAGCAATGAGGATGTAGTCAGGTGTGCTATGGGGGATTCAAATGAACTATCTAGCCCTTTAAAGGCCTTATTTCCTGGATCATCCGATATAGGGCAGGTGTGCAGAGGGGACCCTAACAGGTGTGCAGGAGCCAAAATGGTGCCAAGCAGTCTCTCACGTGGGGCCTGTATGAAGATCTCTCCAGGCTCCCCAGCTTGGGTGGGTTGGGCTCCCGCGGGGGAACTGGAGCACGGAGTGGCTGGCCTGCATGAAGCAGTGACTCTGTGGCCTCTTACCCATCCCCAGGGCTCCACCGCCTGTCAGGAAAGATGATGGCTCTTAAAATAGCCTTTGGCCAGTGTTAACAGCTCTGCAATGTTAGCAGCTTTGTAGCTTTGATGGCTGTAACACTGATCATCGTCTCGCCCTCTCTCACTGATCGCTGTCTTGCCACGTCTCCAATAGCAGTCTTGCCCATTGCTGATCACTGTGTCCATCTTCTCATAAAGTGCCATCTCGTGGTGTGTCTTGCTGTCTTGTTTCTCTGCTGTTTCCACCATCTCACTGCCACATCAAACACTGCCTCTCACCATCGCCAATGGTACGTGACTGGCTCAATACTGATGCAAGGCCAGTTCTCGGCTTTGCTCAGGAAGGAATGTAAGAGTACTAGCCAGTGACAGAAGGAAACAGCTTTATTGAGGCGGCAGTGGTGTTGCAGAGCAGGGGTATTTCATAGGCAGAGGGCCGAGAGGAGCAGCCAGGGGTAGTTTTACAGTCACGTCTATATCCACCTTTAATCGCGTGATAATTAAGGGGTGGTTTCTTCAGAAATAGTTAGAAAGTGGGTCGTGTGCCGCAGCTTCCAGGTGTTGCCATGGCAAGAGTAGGAATTTCCAGGTGTTGCCATGGCAAGGGGCTGTGACTTCTGGATGTTGCTATGGCAATGGTAAACTGTCCTGGCATTGGTAGCATGTCCTGTTTTGGCCAGTCTTACATCTGGTCCAGAGTGAAGTTCTGCCTATGTCTTGCCTCAAAAGTAACAAGATATCTGTAATAAAAAGTTACCCAGAAAAATAACTCCAATATTGCATTTGGTGTTTAGTGACATGCTACTTATCAAAATTAAATAAAGATTCAAGTGAACAAAAAAAATACTCTTAGAAATATTATAGGAGGTCATAATGTCCTGTAGTCCAAAAATTAATATGGATTTAACAAAATAAAGAAATGAAAGACTGGTATCTGTAATGAATACAAAAAATCTTAAGAAAAAAGAAAAATGGAATCCATCTGTATATCTCAACATTTAGTGAACACACACTGTAAAAAGCATTACAGATTTTATAAGAACTCTTGATAGGTAATTTTAATTTCTGAAAACTATATATGAACCGTAAGATATGTTGGGTCTCTTTCCCTGACTTAAAAAATATTTCTTTGTATTTAAATGCTTTACTAATTTTTAATCACTTTTTGTTGCTTAGAATTTTAGATGATATAAATAAGAAATGTGTATTAAAAGCCTACCACTTTGATTTAACTATTGAAACATATTTAAATTTTTGGAAAAATCAAAAAGTACCTAGCAAAGGGAGCTATTGCCAGAAGATACACAGTTCTTTAGTGTCAGTCTGCGATTATCTCCCAGAAATAACTTTTGGCTCATTTAGCTTCCAGTACTCTGCAAGAATAAAAGATGTGAAGGCAACGTTACTTAATTGGATTTGCAATTACTCACTATTCACTGTTAACCAATTTTATTGAAACAAATGATTCCAATTAAATACACTGATTTTAAGTGTACTGTTGAACAAGGTTTTATAAATAAATACATTCTTACAAGCAAAATCAATACACACAACATTTCTATAACTCCAAAAAGTTTTGCCCTGCTCTTCAGGAATCAAGTTGCTTTCCACCTCACAGAACAGAAAATCCTTGGTTAGCTTGTTGTTAGTATAGATTCTACTTTCTTTTTAAGAATTTCACAGAAATGAAATATAGCCGTGTTCTTTTGTAGCTGGTGACTTTCGTGTAGCATAATTGTCTCCTAGTCTCACTCATGTTGCCCTGTGTCCTCATGATGTGTTACTTTTTACTTTTGAGTACTATTTAGCTGTTTAGTAATTTCAAAATATATCCCATCACCTGCTGGTGGCCACGTGGGTTGTTTCCACTTTGAGCTATTATGGATAAAGTAGTCAGGAATGGTATTATACAAGGCTTTGCATGAGTATTTCTTTATTTCTTTTGGGCAAATACCTAGGAGTGCAGTTACCGGGTCTTACAGTGAGTGTTTAATACTCTGCCAAACTGTTTTCCAAAGTAGTTGTACCATTTTACATCTCTACCCAGAATTCATGAGAGTTCTCAATGTTTTAGCTACTTGTTTTTAAGACTTTTTCTTAATCATCACTCAACAATAACTACAATGGCTAATGATCATTAAGTCATGTTTTCCTTACAATTTTCTTGATTTTTGTGGGTGCTTGACTTGTATCAGTATATTGAAAACAGGATCAATATTGTCTTAACCACCTTTTAAACACTTTCCCTAAGTCATGATATTTAGGATGATAACAGGAGATCTAAAGGGACTGTTGGTAGTAGTAACAGGCATTATTCAATATTTATTATCATACTTCTTAAGGCAATACATTTTGAGTGAAATAGCATTCAACAAGACTTGGGATAAAAAGGATCTAATCTCACCTTTAGCATTACATATTAGAAAACATTGGAGAAAACAATTCAGTAAGAGAATCAGAGGGTGTTTTGCTAGTGGAGAAGTGCTGCAACACCTAAACCCTGTTAATGCTAGATCTTTGCAGTGATTTCCACTCATAAAGTTGGGTTGACTCCTTGCCTTGTTCTCCTATGTGTCTGTGTGACTTCATGCGGAGGGCATGTGACATCGCAGAAGGAGAAGCGCACTTGTGTACAGAAACATGGCTTAGGAGATTGGCTTTAGAGGTAGTTGCAATGAAATATACATTTTGAAGAAGTTCCCTATGAAATGTCTTATAAATTGTTTCTTATGGCCAGGTGCTTGGGCTCACACTTGTAATCTTAGCACTTTGAGGGACTTAACCTAACAAATACACCAATTAGGGTGCATAAGACTTCCCTGGCCTTTTTCATGTCTCTTTTGTAGAGAGTGAGCCTCCTTTTCTGTGAAAGCCCTTTGTACTCATTTTGGTTCCTTCTCAGATGCTTCAGGGACCATTGAGAGTATCTTTCTTGTTTTATCTTGGGTGACTCAGGGTCCATCTGATTACGCAAAATTACTGGGATTACAGGCTTGAGCCACCATGCCAGGCCTGGAATTTCTTTCTTTTTTTTTTTTTTTCCTGATAATTTTTAACTTTTCTTCTTAGTTACTTGTCTGAACTTACTGATAGTACCTGACTTAAGATAGTTTGAGTTACAGTTTTTTGACTTTCAGATGGTGTGAATGTGATATGCATTCAAGTAGAAATAGAACTTCTAGTATTCATACAACTATTGTATTTTCTCTTTCAGTACAAGATTCAATACATTACATGAGGTATTCAACAGTTTATTGTAAGATAAGCTTTGTGTAAGATAACATTGACCAACAGTAAGCTAATGTAAGTGTTCTGTGCACATTTAGGATGGGATAGGCTGAGCTATAATGTTCAGTGGATTAGATGTATTAAATGTATTTTCATGCATGGTATTGAAAAATCTGTATCTCACATGGTGTTTGACCACAGATATCTCTGCTTCCTTTTATTCTTAATATCAATCTTTAGTTTGAATTTATAGGAACTGCACATGTGTCTGCACAGCGAAGTGGTCACCGATGATTTGAGACGTTTCGCTCAAATATCTGGAGTTATAAATCTATCTTCTGTCAACCCATCTGTGTGTGGTTTAAAAAGCAAACTGCATGCAAAATGCAGCTAGTTCCTACCTCCCTCTGGTTTTACTTTGCACAAAAACTCCTGGTTCTCATCACTCATATCTATAGCTTCTAGATCACTAGGAATGTGTATAGAGATTGTTTCAGCAATATGGGTCTATTGTATCCAGGAATCTACTATTTACTATCAACAGATGCACTACTTGCCCCAAACAGGGCATCATCTTGGACTAGTAAAGCTATGGGTTTTTTCTGTTCATATCCTGTGGAGTTCTCCATGTTTAGCTGGAAACACTGAAGAATTTTTTTCCACTCCTTGACTTTACTCGTCTACCCAGTTTGGCAGCAAGCTGCCAGTTTTATTTGCTATCCTCACATTGGTAAAACTCCAGTTCTGTAAACCATGCTGAATGACCTGGGAATAAAAGGGTGCTGTCACAGGTAAAAAGCTACATACAGACTTTATCTGTCCTTACTCAAAGCACTAGTACATTTTTTTTTTCTATTAAGAATATGTATCCTTAATTACTTCATGGTTCGCCAGTTTTCAGAGTGCTGAAATAGTTTTGATATTTCAGCTTCATAAGTGTGTTTGTTGTTTATTTTTGCACAGAAGATTTATTAAACTCTTTGTGATGCCATAAACAGAGATGTCTTCTAAAATGCGATTAATAGCCATGCTGAAATGGAATGAGGTAATGGATTAATATAAGTCATTTGGGACTTTAGAATGTGAACTCTAAAAGCCAAATAGAGCAGAGATGCTAAAACTGTGCGGTCACCCCACTAGCTGTCTGTCAAGGAAGCAGCTGGTATAATCAGTAAACACTGAGGGTCTTGTTGAGGTTTTTGTTTCAGGTTGAATCACTGTGTGAGGCCAGTTATTATACTGCTGACAATAATAAACTGCAAAATCTTCAGGCTCCAGGCTGCTGATGGTGAGAGTGAACTCTGTCCCAGACCCACTGCCACTGAACCTGTCTGGGATGCCAGTGGCCCTGCTGGATGCACCATAGATGAGGAGCCTGGGAGCCTGCCCAGGTTTCTGCTGGTACCAGGCTAAGCTGCTGCTGACACTCTGACTGGCCCTGCAGGAGAGGGTGGCTCTTTCTCCTGCAGACAAAGACAGGGTGGCTGGAGACTGCGTCAACACAATTTCTCCGGTGGTATCTGAAATTGGAAAGAAAACAGAAACACACTCATGTAATCAAGATCAAACCCACTGCCTTTGAGTAGAGGCAAAATTGTTGATCCACATTGAATTTTAACTATATTTCTTGCAGAGCAGAGGTGTCAGGAGTTTTCATTGATGTGCAAAACCACCTCATGTTCCCCTCACCTGGGAGCCAGAGTAGCAGGAGGAAGAGAAGCTGCACTGGGGCTTCCATGGTTCCCTCTGTGTCCTAACTGAGCAGTTCCTCCCCAGGGCTCTGACCCAGGCATTGATATGGGCTCTGGAAGGTAGGGCAGCTGGGAGGGACATGCAAAGCAGTTGGGGTGGGAACTGGGCTTCCAGCTGCAGGGACCACCTGCTTCTTCCTCTCTGCACTGAGCATCCTGCACCTCCCTGGTTGTCAGAGATCAGAAAAGTCTGTTGGCTCAGTCTGAGTGTAGAACTTCCCCCTGGTGATCACAGAATTTCACTTCTGTGTCTTTCTTCTCCTCAATCACCTCAATTCACCCAGATGATGTTTGGTACAAGCCTGTTAAGAGCAATATAAAAGGCTGTGTTTTCATTTCTCTCTTCCTATCCTCAATATGCCCGGTCATCCCCCTAAATGCATTATTGAATGTATTGAAATGAAGAGTCTCTTAAAACGTAATCTTCCAGATACACCTTTCATTTGCTTGTTAATAATGTTTTCTGAGGGTCGTGAAGCTTTCCATTAACCCAGACACACACCCTCTTTGAGTTAAAAGTGAAAAACTTCTGTTTACAGTTCCGTGTCCTAGCAGGCCCTGACATAGATGCTCCATGGCTTGCCGCTTGCTTGAAATTGATCAAGTAACTTCACTTCCCTGTGTCTCGGTTTCCATGTCTGTGTAATTGTGACAATAGTGGTACCTGCCTTACAGTGCTATAGACAGTTTAAATAAAATAAGATAGAACATTTGCAATAGTATTTATTACATTATGTATGTGGGAATTAATTTTGCTTTTATTGATTGAATATTAAGCACTACAGTCATCATCATTATCATAAATAAACTTAGCATGGAAAATAGTCTTAAATCTAATCCAAGAATGTTTTATCCACAGTCAAACTAAATTTTAAGGCTTTTTCTTCAGTACCTGTACACAACTCTAAAAATCCTAATGATTTGGTCTTAATCTGTGCTAAAGTACTCAGACCTTCAATCATTCCCACCCATCCCTGTGTAACGCATTACTTCTCATCATCCATTATCAAAATGCTATACTGTAAAAGGTTACCATGTCCTGTTGCTGTCCTTCTTTCTTATATAATCTTTATTCTACCTTGTTATCTTTTGTCTAATTCTTGCTGCAGGACAATAAGGATAAGCTACCATCATTGCTTGTGGACTTACTCCAGTATAATTTTGTCAGTCTTGTTATCTTGGAAATGAAGACTATGTCTTGCAAAGAAACAATGTGTTATCAAATATCAAGTGGGTCAATGTGTTTTAAAAAAAAGATTTTATCTACTTATGATCCGATAATTAATTTAGACTGACTTTAACATATTCTTTAATGACAAAGACGAGAAGACGATATCAGAGGAAATAAAATACAATAGAAAATACAAGCTACTGTAACTCTTGCTTCATGGATTTTTACATCTATTTTAGACATGTGCTCGGTACATGTGTACAATGGTGATCCAGAAACAGAATGCTAACTGGTTTAAGGAATGCCATTGGGTCTTGTCTGCTTTTCCAATTATGAACAAAAAGCTACAATACTATTTGTATGAGTATCAAACTTTCTAGCTGCCTGAGATAGAGGTAGAGAAGATTTACTGAGATAAAAGCCTTGGAAGTAGTAGAGGCTTGTCCTATGATGTTACAGGTATTGCTGTGGTTGTTGTTAGGAAATACAGTGGGAGTGAATGCAGGTAGATTTACAAGCTCTGCTCTTCCTCACACTCACAACCCCCTCTAGAGATCATCAGATAGTGGTACAGAAATCTCTGACACCTCTAAGGAAGTCTTTCTTGCTCTTTCCAGAATGTTTCCTGACAAGTATTGTTTTGAATTACAGACTAGGTGGAAGTGGGTGTAGAAGAAATGACAAGAGAAAGGGAAGAAGTTTTCAATCCTAGGTAGTTGTTGTAGGCACAGGGAATTGGAATTTTTCGTAGATTTATGCCACACTTCTATCATGTTGGGTAGAGAGGCATCAAACCAGGCTCATTCTTAAAAGAAACATTACATTATTTTAAAGAGAAGGAACTATGAATTTCTTGTCGAATAGATGTTTAAAACTCAAAGATACTTTTTTTTTTTTTTTTTTTTTTTTTTTTTTGAGACAGAATCTCACTCTGTCGCCCAGGCTGTAGTGCAGTGGTGCAAACCCGGGTCACTATTACCTCCACCTCCCTGGTTCAAGCGATTCTCCTGCCTCAGCCTCTCAATGTGCTAGGATTACAGGCATGTGCCACCACACGCAGCTAACAATAGGGGGGAGTAGAGGGCCACAAAAGCATGTACACAAGAGACAACTTTTCTTTTTTTTACAGAATAAGTCTAATTGTAAAATAGTATTATAATGTATGGAACCATGTTTAAGACAAGTCTCCTGGTGTTCGAATTTATGTTGAACCCAAGCAGTGTTGTGATAGAAAGTGAGTTTCTTTTTCTTTAAACTGAATTTGAATTTGCTCCAATAACCTAATAGGAACCCTAGTGACACGTCCTCTGTGATACTCGCCATTGTCCCCATTTCTAACAAGGATTTCTACTGGACACAGAAGTTTTTCTAAGTCTAACAAGAGGGAAGGTGACTGGGCCATCATTGTCCTCTTCTCAGACTTCCACTTCCTGTATAGAAGGTAAAGGTAGGAAGACATTATGAAAGTGGATTATAAGCATTTGTTAGTGAACAAAACATAACTAAAGCAGTATTTTTATTTTTTTATTTTTAAATTTTTATTTATTATTATTATTATTTGAGACAGACTCTCACTCTGTCACCCAGGCTGGAGTGCCATGGTGCAATCTTGGCTTAGCGCGACCTTCACCTCCTGGATTCAAGTGATTCTCATGCCTCAGACACCCAAGTAGCTGGGATTACAGGCGTGTTCCACTAAGTTCAACTCGTTTTTTTGTTTTTTTTAATAGAAACAAGGTTTCACCATGTCGGCCAGGCTGGTCTTCCTGTCCTCAAATGATCCGTCTATCTTGGCTGCCAAAAGTGCTGGGATTACAGGCATGAGGCACTCCACCGGGCTTTAAGCGATATTTTTATTAAGTAAAGTGTAGAAGAAAATGTGTAAATAAAGTGACAGTAAGAAAACAAAATGGCATTATGGAAAATGATAACTTTAGGGCAGAAAACAAGAGAAGGCAAACCAAGATTCCTGTAGGATGAGCCTCCAATGCACAATCCAAGGAGGAATGTCAAGGCTGAAAACTCTGGAGCATCCAGGTAGTGACCAAAAGTACCAAATTCTGAGAACACAGAGTACCCGAGTATCAGCCTGTGAGTGTCCTCACACCAAATGCCAGGAAATCCTGGAATATCCAGGGGCTGAACAATGCAGAAAATCCTGGAGCCTCAGTGGGGTGGCCAACAATGAGCCCCAAAGGCCGGGTTGGGGCCATAGAACAATGTAACTCTGGCTTCTTAGAGTCAACAGAACAGGAGAATTCTTACAACCAAGTGTCCTGCCTTAAACAATTGCACAAACCTAATTAGCAGGGAGCCAAAGACAAAACTAAAAACCAAACATGTATATCAGGGCAGAAAATAAGATAAAATAGCTGATGGATAAATAAAATGGCATTAGAGGAGATATGACTAAGAGAAGGAACAATGAGGACGTAGTCAGGTGTGCTATGGGGAATTCAAATGAACTATCTAGCCAAAGGCCTTATTTCCTGGATCATCCGATATAGGGCAGGTGTGCAGAGGGGACCCTTACAGGTGTGCAGGAGCCAAAATGGTACCAAGCAGTCTCTCACGTGGGGCCTGTGTGAAGATCTCTCCAGGCTCCCCAGCTTGGGTGGGTTGGGCTCCCGCGGGGGAACTGGAGCACAGAGCAGCTGCCCTGCATGAAGCAGTGGCTCTGTGGCCACTTACCCATCCCCAGAGCTCCACCGCCTGTCAGGAAAAATGATGGCTCTTAAAATAGCCTTTGGCCAGTGTTAACAGCTGTGCAATGTTAGCAACTCTAGCTTTGATGGCTGTAGCACTGGTCACTGTCTCGCCTTCTCTCACTGATCGCTGTCTTGCCATGTCTCCAATAGCTGTCTTGTCCATTGCTGATCACTGTGTCCATCTTCTCATAAAGTGCCATCTCGTGGTGTGTCTTGCTGTCTTGTTTCTCTGCTGTTTCCACCATCTCACTGCCACATCAAACACTGCCTCTCACCATCGCCAACGGTAGGTGACTGGCTCAATACCGATGCAAGGCCAGTTCTCGGGTTTGCTCAGGAAGAAATGTAAGAGTACTAGCCAGTGATAGAAGGAAACAGCTTTATTGAGGTGGCAGCGGTGTTGCAGAGCAGGGGTATTTCATAGGCAGAGGGCCGAGAGGAGCAGCCAGGGTTAATTTTACAGTCACATCTATACCGACCTTTAATCGCATGATAATTAAGGGGTGGGTTGTTCAAAAATAGCTAGAATGTGGGTGGTGTGCCCCAACTTCCAGGTATTGCCATGGCAAGAGTAGGAATTTCCAGGTGTTGCCATTGCAAGGGGCTGTGACTTCTGGATGTTGCTATGGCAATGGTTAACTGTCCTGGCATTGGGAGCATGTCCTGTTTTGGCCAGTCTTACATCTGGTCCAGAGTGAAGTCCTGCCTACATCTTGCCTCAAAAGTAACAAGAATCTGTAATAAAAAGTTACCCAGAAAAATAACTCCAATTTTATATTTAGTGTTTAGTGACATGCTACTTATGAAAATTACACAAAGATTCAAGTGAACAAAAAAAATACTCTCAGAATTATTATAGGAGGTCATAATGTCCTGTAGTTCAAAAATTAATATGGATTTAACAAAACAAAGAAATTAAAGACTGGTATCTGTTATGAATATAAAAAAATCTTAAGAAAAAAGAAAAATGGAATCCATCTGTGTATCTAAACATTTAGTGAACACACATTGTAAAAAGTATTACAGATTTTATAAGAACTCTTGATTGGTAATTTTAATTTCTGAAAAATATATGTGAAACGTAAGATATGTTGGGTCTCTTTCCCTAACTTAAAAAATATTTCTTTGTATTTAAATGCTTTACTAATTTTTAATCACTTTTTAT